GTGCATAAGACTTCTGCATAGTCTGCAGAAAGGAAGAAACCCTGCTTGAACTTAAGGAGGGGCAGCAATAAGCTCTTAAGGCTAAACTAATGCATGTCACTGTAGGCCAGCTGGTACTCACCCTAGGCAAATAAATACCATCTACCCTGCTTTCATCTGTAAAGTCCATTAGGTTAGAAGCCATGGAGTGCCCACACAAACCTGTGCTGCTTTGAATGTATGACCTCCCACAATTCATACACCAGGGTTTCTCTGAGCAGGGTACTCCGAGGGCCACAAGACTCCAAGGGTGGAACTGGAGTCACTATCACTGCCACTGAATGAAGCTGTCTCTTATTTTAATGCTCTCACTCTCAGATGTCTCTTCATCAGCTCCTGATTCACTGACAAGCAATCATTCCTGTGACTTTCCCCTCAAAAACTACCACCAGAACTAAGTAGTCTGAAATCCAGCTGTAATGCCCTACAAAATCTGGCAGTTGAGATAAATAGACCAAAAATACAGAACATTCCTGATGCCTCGTTCTACCAAAAAACTTTGCTGAATGTTGCAGTTAAAATGATCAAAATGTTTGGGGATTGCTTTAACATTTTTAATATTAACTTTTAAAAGTAATTCAGAAGCTGAGGAAAAGAAGAAACAAAAATAAGAGATAATAGTTAAATAACAAGTTTGTGACAGTGTCTGGTATTTATTTTTTTACCTCCATTCATAACTGAAATCACATTTGATTGCATTGCAGGTGCCATGCTGTACCACCGCTCTAACCTACTGATCCTATTGCACTTCACGCTTTTGGGGTCAGGTCCACTTTCCTGTTGATGCCCATGGGCTCCTCTCATTAACATTAATGACAGGCAGACATGCACATCAGTGGGAGAATTAAATGGATATTTAGCTGTTACTGAGAATTCAGCTTCAGGAGGAAGTCAGTCTGCCTTACAAGTGATAAGTCATAATTTTAAAGACTGCTTTAAACAAGACAGCTTTTTTTCCTCCAGAAAAGTGTGATGAATAAGTAAAGGGCTCAATACAGCTCTGAGTTAAATGAAAGGGCATTCTACTATTAATTTCAAGTTTGAACAGCTCAGGCCAAAAGGCTTCCCCTCAAACCTCATTCTGATTTTACCACAGACTTTTTGTTAGAACTTTTATGTTTAAGAGTGATCTGTATTCAATTCCTACATTAAAATGTCTCAAAAGCATTCAAAGCAAAAAAGTTTTCTTCTGCTGCTTCACTATATTAAAACTGACAGTTTGCATTTCAGAAATCTTAGGGACTGAGACAGGTAACAGAAATTTTGCACCAGTACCTTATTGCAAGAGGTGCAGAGTACCCTTGACCTCTAAGGTCCAGTGACTGCCACAGACAGCTTCTCAGGGTGCTGGGGAGTTTGCAGGAGCAAGTCATTAGGGAGAAAAGAGAAGAAATCAGTAACACAAACACAAATTTTAGACAACAAAAAAAAATTGCTCCAAAGGTGTGAAAAATACGAAGGTACTGATGCTGGTACTGCATTTGCCACCAGGAATGGCTGCAAAAATTTACGGGTGAAAGTATCTCCTACATTAAATGCCATAAAATCTGTTTTCAGCTCAAGTATTCTCCTAATTGATAAACAATGTGCAGCTACAGCAAGAGCACATACATTGATTCCAAGGGCTCACCATATTTTGAAATCTAATCCTTAATGAGGTTAGAGGATTTCACTTGGATTTAGAAATTATGTCATATTTCCCCAGTAGCAGAACTTATACCTTGCCTAACTTCTGCCTCAGCAGAAGACCTAACTTCAGACCGCGCAGTGTGGTTACAATGTGGATGTCTTAAGTCCTGAGCATGAGGCAGCACCATAGGGACCAAGCTTTGAACCTTACCAGCACTGTCCTCCCTCCTGGGGCCTCCTAGCTGAACGGGGAACAGAAGCATGGCTCTGCTGACTCCTTGCCTCCACGTATGTGGGAGGCAGCCATGTCCTGCAGAGGCTGTACAACCTCTCATCCTTCTGCGCAGTGATTTCGTGCTCGCCTGTACTGCCCTTCACAATCTTGCCCTCACCACAGAAAGGAACTAACCAACTTTTTCATATTTATAATAGTTTAAAGACGACCTATGTGAAATGTTCTCAACATTAAACCAAATAGATCATATGCAGAAAGGATGCAATATTTTCAAGAATAGAATCTGTAAGAACGTCACTGCTCTGTAAGTATTTAAGGCTACACTGATAGGAAACCAATTCAATTAAAGAATCGTAAACTCTACGTGGTATATTGGCACACAGAAAAGTAATTAAGTAACTTTATAAACTCTTCCAAGTACTTACTGTACTTTTGAACAAAGGTAAACAACAAAAAGTTATGGAAAAAAAAAAAAGCACAGACAACTCTGAGGAAAACACAAATGCCTCCAATTTGTTTCCGATTCTTTGTTCTTTACAAATTCTGTTCCATGCTTAAGACTTAACTGAATGCACAAAACCACACTGTATACATAAGCCCTTATGCAGCATTAAAGAAATAAAATATCTAAAGGCAGATTTCAAATACAAAAGTATATGTTTGCACAAAGCAGTAAGAAAAACAAAATTACAAACAAATCATAGAATAATCTAGGAAGAAAAAACAGCATGACAGCTATTGATACTATAACTAATTCATAAAAATCCCAGGGCAAATCCAATTATTGGTATGACTGGTTTTGCATGGCAAATCCACATTCTACTGCTTCAAAATTAAACATTCATTTCCATTCTTTACACATTCAGTTCCCAGACTTTGTACAGTATAAATCCAAGTAAGCCAACCTCCTTCTGTGAAGCACAGACTTGACCTGGATACCTTGGAAAAGTCACATGGATCTACAAGGAGATTCCTCTTCCCAAATGTGCCCAACAGAGACTACTATAGATCTCTGCCGTGTCTAAATTAAGATTTCAGTGTCTTAGAAGAATGGCTAGATGTAAAACTGAAGCAATGCAACCTACGAACAGAAACCCCAGTCATGACACGGTTTAGTTCAGTCTGGTTCTGTAAGACGTTATTTGCTGCACCTTCCAAAGTGACTTCTTAATTTGTTCAATGGTGATGTTAACTATATTCTTCATTGGAATTAATATCCTCAGTTCTTGCTGTTAAATACTGTACATTATTTTATAAAGCAAAACCCATACAAAGAGACAACCATCAAGAGACAACTTTCAGGTTTAGGAAAGAGCATCGAAATATCCACAACCAGAATGAATAAAAACACTTCCACACCCATTGAAAAATTGCTTTTGATCAGCTTCTAAGTCAGTTGGGAAAATCTGAGCATTTTCCTTATGCATATAAAATTAATATTGATTTTTTTATTAAATTCTACACTCAACATTACATTTCACAAACTGAGCAACAAAAAGGACTGAAAGAGACAATTTGCATTACTGCAAGACCGTTCCTCTTTAAAGAAAGTTTTTGCATTATTTGTATTTAGTAAATAAAGCTTCTGTAAATGAAGCAGCAGCACAATACCAGGGGAAAAAAAAGGCCTGTACTAATGTTTTAAATCTTTAAATCAATAAAAACTGAAAGTCTGGCTCTGCAAATAAGCCCCTCAAAAGGCACCAAATAAACCAAGAAGTGGAATTACAATATCCTTTAAAAAGGACTTAATGAAATTGTTAAGTAGTGTGAGAATTTGAGAACCATGTAAAACATCTTTATTATAGCATACTCACTGTCTCCAATCTCACTGTACTTGACTGTCTGTATACCCTAAAGCCAGGATTGTTCAAAGATATTATAAAGAAATTTAAGAGAAGAACATTTGTCCTGATGAGAGCACTCTAGGCTACCACTAATTCTTTCAACAAAATCCAAAATTTCACTCTTCTACCCACCAAGTGCTACAACAGTTAGGGAGCTCTTGTATTTGTAAGACATCACCATAATTTATAAGACAAAAAATTGCTTGCTTTCCATAGAGCAACAATTAAAAGTAAACAAAACTTACAATTACAAGCAAAAAGAATATTTGAATAGGGAAACTATTTAAAAATATGTTTACTCAATAACCCACAATTTCAGTAATATGAATTAGATTCAGCAGTCAGTAAATTAGTGTGATTCCATTTAAAGTATTTGGGACAAACAGGAATCTCAGAAGCGCTGCTATTTCCCTAATTTCAGTGGAAGCCATGAGTGTTTATCTGATGGCAAACTTTCTTGTGGGTACTGTGGCTTCTCAATTGTGTCACTAGAAAGCTGTGTTTCCCAACCTGAATATAAGCAAAGCAAACTTCTGTTTTGGGTGTGAACATTCATTCAATTGCTGGCAAATCACTAGAAAAATAACTTACCGAGTTCTCTTCTCCAAGAAGAAAGGTAAAAACTCCTGGTCTGCTCTCTACTTACAACAAACGGCATATGGTAATTCCTAAAACAGCTCAGAAGAGACTCAGATGGGTACCTATTTCAACCAAAGTCACAGTATTTTGCATTCATTCAGAGTAGTTCAACTGCTGCCACTTCCTTCACAGTCTTTAAACCCAACTTCCAACTTCGGACATTTTAAAGAAATCTGTATCAGTTTGTTTAATGAAAATATATTTTAGTAAAGTCGTGCTGTATGAGCTTCCTACATTGGAATACATGAATACAGGAAGTGCTTTCAACAGAAAGTTACATAGTTTTACAGTACAACCTGTCCAAGGAGATTTGGAAGGGACCAAACAAACGATCTGGTCTCTTTGGATTAGGCAGAAGTACAGGCAAGAGGGAAAAACCCAATTTATGCCATATATAGAGCTCGTTCCTGTCACAGATTGAAGAAACATTAGTTCGATGTCAAAGTTCACCTGATGCCCAAATGCTAGCATTTTTCAAACCAACTGCATATCAAAAAATGAAAACTTACTTGTACTAAGCTCCTGGAAAGAAACGCAGTGTAAAACAACAGTATATTCATATTTGCTGTATTACTAAGTGTTCTCCACCAGTGGTATTTTTTTTTTTTTGCTCTACATATCATTAACTTTTTCTCAAAGTGCAAATTATCGACCATTAATCTGAATGCAGGCAGGTCAGAAGCTACAGTATTAGAGCAATACAAAAAGTACACAAGGAGGAGCTTACATTAATTTGGAGAACATTACATAAAATGTTTCTGAATTGAAAACCACATTAACAAACCCAAACAAATACAGCATCAGGTGGATAGGGGAGGGACCGCTAACATATCTGTGTACAGCAAGGCTTCTCTGACACCAAGGAAGTCTCTGACACTAAGTGAAGATTATATATTAAATCCCGCCATTTTGCATGTTGTGCATTCTTTACGATGGAATGTTGACCTCAATTTTAGCTTTTTTACTTCCACAACAAATCTGTTGATTGTGACCGTGGATGATGATCATCTTTGAGAGACTAAACTCCCTTAAAACCACGACTGTACTTTGTACCGTCTGTTACGATTCTAGTAAAGTATGCCATCTACATACTTGCTGTCCTTTAGATTCTTTCATTTCAGTCCAGTGATTGAGTTCATCTTCTCCTGAGCTGTTGAGACCTAAGGAAATCCACCCTATCATCTCTTTTCGTTTCATGCTGCGCTTATTATATACAGACAGTATGAGCGTCACATCTGAAAGCTGAAACAGCGCCACTTGGAAAACGAAGGTTTCTTTATACACTGGATTTGGCTGTCCTCGGCGGATTGAAGTTTTGCATTTGGACATCTCTTGCCCCATCGAGTTCAGCAGTGTTAACTTAACATATGTATCTACAAAATAAATTGTATTTTGGAATGTCAGATATCTTAGAACAAAAGTTTTTGAGACTGAGATATGTACAAGATACAAGGATATGGTGTATACCAGGCTGACTGAACACAGCTTAGTTTAGACATATGGAAAAATGACAAGTAAGCAAAATATTACAAACACGCTAACAAATTAACTAGCTTCAGTACTATGTGAATGGGTTAAATTAAAGGTATACCTCATAATCCTTTTCCCATTGACCCCCCTTATTTGTTCTAACAAACAAACTTAAATTGCATTAACGTGTAGCAAGCTCCAACTAGCCACAACACTGCAAAGCATACCACTGAATTTTCAGAGAATAAGAATAAACAAAGCGGAATGAAGGCAACTAATGAAGAGAAAAAAAACCCAAACATTGATATGCAATGATGATATCAAAACAGACAGAATGAAATGCTTAAGAATAATCTCTGCATGGATGTGGTTTGGGCTTTTCAATTTTATTTATTTTAAAGACCAAATGTAGCAAAGTGCATTCAAAGGTAGAAGTTTACACAACACAAAAACCCTCTTAATTCCTAGGTCTATAAAGGAATACATTGATACACCTTTAAAGAGAAATAAATGTTTGCATAATTCAGATGGTTGTTTAAAACACAGCTTGTACAGTACTCTTAGACGTACATTTAAGAAACTGATGCAAGTAAATGTGGTTAGCACACACTGGCTGGTAGTATTTGGGTATAAGCCCTTATTTTTAAAGCTCTATTTTCATTTGACTAGAAGCAACAAGCCATGCTCCTGCAGAAGGATGCGCATTTCATGAAGTTAACTGATTTTAAGAAATATAAAACTGTATAAAACAATCTGGTGTTTCATCCTTTATTCCTGTCATATTCATGTTAATCAATAATATTATTAAAGGATTGGAGTTTATGAAAAAAGAAATACGTTGAATATTTTCACTTTGCAGGTACACTGAAATCCCAACATCCATAATCAGAGATAAATGCAACTTTTGCATTAGAGTGCCACAAATAATAAACATTTACTTTTATAAACCAATATGGTAGGCAGCTGTGGATAGCTTTACTGCTGGCAAGTTTTCTTTTGCATGAAAAAGACAACATCCAATTACTTTCTACCTACTCACCTCGGATTATATAAACCTGTCCACCTATCAAGTGTTTTAGACAACAGAACAGTCCGTCTGACAACAGGGGGTGGAAGGCAGTAAAAGAAATAATGACCAGATGTCAATAGTTGGGTGAGAGAGGATCAAAGGTTAAAGTTTAAGAGGAAACACTATTCACTGGAGTGGAGGAACACAAAACCTTAGCAGCATAGATCAGAAAAAGGATCGAACAAAAGGATTGTTGGGTAAAATTTAATGAAATGAAACTTTTGTGCAGTTTTTGTGTAATCTTTAACAAAAATTACACTGCTTACATAATGGGTTATCTTAGCACTAATAGCTACTGGGTTCTAAAGCACACTCAACATAGAAAGAATCATGCAAATGATTAGGTTATAGAAGACTCGGTAAAAATCACCGTATCCTTTTTACCAAACCTTATGCTTTTTCATGCAAACTCCAGCATATTAAGAAAAACTGCACACAGTAACTATACTTCATATATTACAAGCAATAAAATGAAAATCACTGAACTGAAAACTAAGCCGGTTTTGCCCTTAGCTTTTATAGCTATAGATGTTTGATTGTAATACTTTAGTTTTTGAGTAGTGATGGACTTGGGCACGAGAATGACTCTAAAAATGGTTGAGGGATGCTTACATATGAAGTTCAACTATGGGTCTCTATTTAAAATGTAAAGATCTCACTTGTTAAAATCCATGTATTCATGGATTTAATGTGTGTGTGCATGCATACACAGACATGCATTTAATGTGCAAAAGCTCGTACCCCATTTCAAGACAATTTTAAAGGATACTAACAAGCATCTTTTTTCAGACAAAATATTAACTGTCACACAGAGAAATGAAGACACATTCTAACATCAATTGTTATTGCCTGCAGGATTTGGCCTGTTTGCCAGTACTCAATTGCTAAATGAGTTACTATGTAACATATAAATATGCAGCAGAGGAGTATATATTGCCAATAAGAAGAAATGTAGGACTCAATCCATATTTGCTGCAGAAGCATTTCACAAAAATTGCATAGGTTCACAACCCCTAGACTACAGAAAGGATTACACATGGGAAAGAATAATTGCTTCCCTTTCTATCAAGGTTCCTCAGGACCTGAATGAAAACTGACCTGTGCATGTACTTTGCAGCACTCAGGATTTTGGACCACTGATGGTCCAAACAACAAATCCGATCAGAGCATTTAATCATCAACCCTATGTGCCTTAGTTTTCATTTTGTGGAAATGATGGCACAGAGAGAGGCTGGTACGCGTCCACTATGTACCTGACAGGGTGTTATGGAATGGCAGTGGTATGCAGGTCCAGGAGTTTACAAGACGGTGCTATCACTGCTGTTGGGGAGGGGAGAAGGATGGCACAAAAACAGCTCACAGGAAAAATTTGGATTCCACAATATTCTGTCCATGGTCTTACCAGACCCAGAAAGCGCATTAGTTTCCAGCTTTCTAGAAACAACAGAACTCCAAACCCACATTTGCTTAAACAGAACTGGACTATTATTATTATTGTTATGAATATCAAAACGTCCCCCTGTCCTTCACAGGGGATCATGAAAGGTAACACACAAGATCTCCCCTCCAAAAAGATTAGACAGAACGTGGTATTACAGGGCTGTGTGCCATGTTTTATGCTGCTTTCTTGAAATCTGAAACAGATTTTTGACCCCCGTGACACACACAACTGTCAGCTAGACAGCATACCCACAAAGCCCATTTGGGGAATTAATACAGCAGGGAATGAACATAGCTGTCTTCAAAACAAGTACTAAACCCCCATCTAACTTGCATATTCTAAATATTAAGAAAAACTTGGCTTTCACTAGAGATTCCAGAAAGACAAGCATAAGCCACCTACTGTTTTTTGCTTTAAGGGAACACATGGTCCCTTCTCTCCAAGTCCTCTCTCCATTTATTCCTTTCCCCACCCCAGTGTCCTTGGGCTCTCTTGGCTTTCCCTATCTATTTCTATGCTTTGTCTCCAAATAAGTGATTCTGGGGCAGCTACCTCATCATATAGAGGTATTAGAGATTCTTCTTTCGCCTTCCTTCTGTGGCCATGTTAACAAAGTCCGGCTCCATCCATGTGAAAAGTATAGAGAAAGCAAAGCAGAGTACGGCTGAGCCAAATGTAATTAATGAATGGAATAAAACATGGGTCAAGAAAGAAAGATAAGAGTATCATTCTCAAGTTGGCTTACTTGAAGATACTCTGAAGATAAAGTGAGATGTGCAAACCACTTAAAAAATGTTGGCAGCCTGCTATGTAATCTAGCAGTGCCAGATAATCTGCTAGTGCCATACAAATCTGGGGATTAAGAAACAGAAAGAGGGGCTAAAACCTGAGCCTCCAGACAAAAATCAAGAGGAACAGGTAGGTATGTCTGGCTACAACTTCTGTAAATCAGACTTGTCATCTAAAAAACAACAAAAAAAATTTTTTTAACAGTTCATTACTGAACTTTCTCATGCCATACCAAAGAATTAGAGACAGTAAAAACATTCTGTGTGACATTCCATTTGGCTCCAATTTAGAAGTATATAAAGGTCACAGATATTTCAGACAAACGTATTTTTGAAGAAATGCTTGAACACACAGTTCAAGTCCTTTCCAATGGTGAACATTCTTTCTGCACAGTAAAAGGTGTCTCTTTGTTTCTCTGTTGTCTTCACTGATGTTCCCAAGTTACATATACTACTGCCACATATATACAGGCACATAAGCAATTAAAGATTGCAGTATCAACCCCTCTAGGAACAGCAATAACTGTGCAGAGTGTATTAGCTGGCATGTACTTTCTCTTTAAACAGTAACTTTTTATTCTTGGCCTGTGATGTGAGGCATTAGTAATTTAGCAATTAATCATTATGATAAAGGTAATTTATTAGTCAGTCATCATGAAAAATTAAAACAGTCTTGTCAACTTACAATTAATATTTTGAATTTTAGATTTTTGCTATTTCCCAACTGACTAGAAATATAAAACATGAAACAGATTAGTTGATGATTGCTCTATTCCATTTTGATTGGGTAAGACTAAATGATAGGATTGAAGTCCTTGCTACTGAGAGCCCCACCAGTACAGAAGCATTAGGATGAAAAAAATTTTCACTCACTGGGTGGTCTGTTCGCTGCCAAGTTTTTGAAGTGGCTGCCTTTTATGACTTCTGCTGATAATCTTCCAGTTGTAGCGTTATAAAGGAGGCCAATGAGGATTTCTGGAGCCGAGCCATGTACCAGAGACTGACAAGAGGAGGTACTTTCACTGCAGGACACTTCTGACATGCTCATTTGAGAGTCACAACCCTATAAAACACATAAAAAGTTCTATGTATTTTATGGAACGATGTTACTGGCAAGTCAATTTTTAGAATATTGCATGGAAAGTTAGGAAAGCAACTTACTGACAGTAACAGAAATTCCAATCACCCAATAAGAAACGTACATCCTTAATATATATTCAGTTCGCATATGTTAGAGGTAACAAAGACTAAAGCGGTCTGGAATCAAAATAATTCTTAATTTTCTGTTCCTGTTGCTTCATAATTCAGGAGAAATAATAGCAGAAGATGAAGAGCAACTTTTATGGTCCCTATTCACTTCAATTGCTAAGATAAGACCTGTAACATAATTTGTCAGTATCCTGGAGAACATTAAACCTTGGATCTTTTACTTTCCAAAAATGGAACACACTAGTGGAACTTTGAAGATAACAAAATGCATGAAATTCTTATTCATCCTTTGTAAAGGTTATTCTCTAGACTGAGAATTTATGGGTAGCAAAGTAACAGAACACATGCAAATATAAAAATGCACTCTGTCTAGAATAAATTAGCTTACAAGGACTTTAATTGATCCAGGGATACAAAATTGCAATAGACCCTTTGTCTTGGGTGGGAAAGGAAGAATGTCATCCCACAGCTCAGCAAGTGATACTTTAATTTCCATCCTGCAAGGTTCCAAAAAATTAAGCGCTCTCATGCATTCTCACTACATCACATCTTTGATGGGAGCTTCTAATACTTATTTTTATCATTTTAACCCCTCATTATCTGCCTTAAAAAAAAAAATCTTTATGCTGTCATGCTGATCATACCATAGTTGTTCCTACTTTCATTTCTTGCTTTCATGCACTGTTACGTTGAGTTGTACCACTGAAAAAAAGAAACTGGCCAAATCTAGCCAACAGCACAGCAATTCACTTGGTAGCCAAGAAGAGACTTTTGAATTATCAGTACATCCCTTTATAATGCTCTCAGTGAAAATGTAAATTGGATCCACAGATTTTTCAAATATGGCTTGACTCATTTGGGAATCTGGCAGCACACTTTCAAGAAGTCATGATGATTTTGTGAAGCTAATTTTTCCAGATTCCAAATGTCTCTATCATCTCCAGCAACAGCTGACATGGTCGCAAGATCCATCCTAAAACCTAAGTAGCACAAATTCTCATCAAAATAAAAGTTAACTTTAAAAGCAAGTAACTTAGTCTGATGTATAAAGCCCAAATGCATTACAGAATCTCAAATTATAAAAGATGTGATACCTACAAGACGACACTATGAACCTAAAATAATACCCTTCATATTGACATTTTAACTTCTTCTCAACAGAACGTTTCCAAGAAGTCTGGTAGAAGTTTCAAGTAGCAATCCAGTTCCTCATTATTAAACATTCACTGTTGTTAGCAAATGTAGTCTTACTACTAAAGAAGGACCTCAACAAAATTCCGTGACTTCCATTCCCCAAGCTGCAAATTCTGAATTTTAAATCTTTGGTTATTTCTCCAAAAGTTCTTTATCTAATTCCAGGAATAATTTCAAATGGGTTGCAAATTGTAAATTGCTGAAAATGAATTACAAGTATACATTCTCTGATTCTTGGCACTCACAAACCAGGAAACATTTGATTCCTCACTTTAACAGTAGAATACAAAATGGAAAGTTTAAAACTTGATTCAGCAGTCACAGTATACACTGCACACTTGAAAGTCTCAGCCTATCACAGCTGCAGCTAATACTTAAGTTTTCTGGTCTTTCAAAATTGTAACACATTGACCCTATGGTGCTTATTCATCATCTTATTTTGTTGGACTAGGAATTTAACCACAGTCAACCTGATGCTGTTCAAAGCTTAGGTCTCAAATTTGATTGTGATCATGCTGCAAGTCCACAAAAAAGACAACACAAAGCAAGCAGCTCCCCCCCAAACCCTCAAAGGGCTTTGACATCTGTACTGAGAGAAGGTGATGATAGCATTTTTTCCTAATTCTGACTTATTTGTACAGTTTACTGATGTTCTAATAGGGACTCAGTCTAAATCAGTTTATGACAGAGTTAAACTGACCACAGTGGGTATCAGAATAACATTTAGAATGCTAGAAATAGCAAATAGTAAATGAGTGATGACTGAGTGGGAATGAGTCCTGAAGTACCTTGCAAAGGAAGACAAGTGGCTTCTGTGTGATGTAACAGAGATGGGGGAAACAACTGAAAAATTAAACAAATGTGATATTACAAAGTTATTTAAGGATGGGCTAGAAATACCGTTCCTTTACAGCAGAATCCCAAGTGGATGTGAGAAGGACAAGACTGCGTTTCTCAAGGCCAGAGAAAAGATCTCACCAGCTGAACAGTGGGATGAGAAGACCTAGGTGACACATCAGATCTGTAAGTACATGGAAATGCAACTAAATGTCTGTACCTTAGAACTGTTGCACAGAAATAATTGGTAGATGTAGCCTTGGTGAAAATCTGAAGACAGGGTGTAACTTAAATGTTTTGCTACAATAACTTCTAACACAAAATATTTTGCTTATTGTTTTGAGACAGGTGGCAGGCTTGAAAAAAATAAAAGCATGTTGTTTAATCCTTAGTGTATAACAAACTTATGAATCTCCTTCCTACAAAAGTTGTGGTGACAGAAATTTAAAGACATTACAAAGCAACCAAATTCACTGATGAAACAATCTAAACAATATATTGTTTTCTGTTTCACATGAAAAAAAGACTCCAACACATTTTGTTTCATGCCAAACCAAACCTATTTTAAAAAATACTTTGCTTTTCAGTTATGAACTGGAAAATCCTAATACAAAAGAAAGACGTTAAGAAGAAAAATGAAGCAGTGAGGTGTGAAGTAGATTAGAAGAAACACTGATGTTACTGGGTAAAAATGAGGTTAAACAACATAAACCAAAGTATAATTTGTGTCTACGATAAGGGAGAAAACAGAGAATTTGGGGCAAGTAGGTAAAAGACATGAGAAAAGGGGAAGGTGAGGTTGTGTTTTCTCAGTTTTCTTTTGAAAGAAAAATCTTATGAGGAAGAGAAGAAGAAACAGGAATCAGGGAAGGCAAAGAGACACCGGAGATCAACAGGGCTCAGAACAAAAACTGAAGAAAGACTTTTCATTGCAGGACAAAGTTAAAATCAGGGATACTGAGTATTATTTGATGTCTTCTCAAAAATGTATTTTGGCACAGAGTTTATTGCTCATGTTGTAGAAATCCATTAATTGTTTTAAGTAAGGTATTCCATGATAATGACATCTGTTGGTAAGTCACCTGACTTTGTGTTACATCTGTAAGCTGCACTAGAATTGAAAGTAACAGTTTTTCAAGTCTCTGTTTAGCTGTTTTTTTTCTGTTTACATAGGCAAAATTGAAGAACAGTGCTAATAAACTCATCAAGAAAAAAGCAAGACAAAGTTAACATTTTTACCTGCTCAAAATAGAAGCTTCATGATCACATGCCAAATTGTAAAATATTAACACTGAAATTGCTAATTGGTACAACATGAGTATAAACTTGGCTACAACAAAGCTTTCATCTCATGACAACACTGCAGTGCTACCAGATGCTTTTCATCTCCATACAGATCTGGATTCAATCTATCTGTAGGCCACTTTGATACTGCAGTTTCACTGTGGGAAACGTAATACTTAGACCAAAAGTTATTATTTGTTTGAAATAATCTGTCTATGTAAGTTTATTTGTATCACTCTTCCCCCTCTTCCTCTATAAACACTAGGTGTATTTTAATATGCAGGGGAAAAAAAGGACTAAGGTTCCATAATAGCAAAAGGCTTTCAAGGTCAGTGAAGCGCCAGAATAGCCTGGTAAGAACTGTTGTAAAATCTTAACTGTAGATTTTTAAGAATTTAGATGAACTGTCAAGGTATTGATGATATGGCCACAGTGCAAGGAGCTGTCTCTTGAGGTTGTCTCCAGGATATTAATGCTAAATTTCTAACCTATTTTTGTCAATTTAGCCATAAGAAAAACATATTATTAACAGTAAACACAAGCAAAAAAAATTAGGTTAAGTCTATTCCAAATATTTGGTTCAAAGGTCTGCCTTACTACAGTAAATTACAAATTGTCAGCTTTTCAATTTTATAACACAGAGCTTTGCACAAAGGCCCTAAACCTTTCCCATGTACATCACAGGACAGTGCTTTATTACAAAGTCAGGCGGTTTTTATTTGATCAACACTTACAAGAGTCACTGCTTTTCACTGCATTATAAGAGTAATATGTGTTATATAGTCTGTAAAAAATTAATTACTAATTCTCTAAATTATTGATGACTTCTTTGCATATATTATCTAGGGAAGAAACATTTTCTAATAAATATATAATAAAAACATTCCTATTAAGCAGTGTTTGTATTTCACACGTTCCTATTGTACGAAAGACGGCAATCGAAAAAAACCCCACTCTTTTTTCCATAGTGCCAATGGAAGTGAATGTATACAATGCATGGTTTCAGACGTGAACCCCTAACAAGTATTTTCAATAACCATCTTCTCTGCTCTCTGACAACATAGAGAATCCTCTATTTGCAACAATGACAATATATGTAAAATGCATTTATTTGTCTTCCTTCACCATAATTCCATGGAAACAGGACATTTGTTACTTACATATTCATCTCCTACTGTTATTTTTTTATATCCTTAAGTTCTTCTTATAAATTCTGCTCTTAAGCCAACTGGAGTTAATCACAACATGGAGTGGCCATGCTCTGAGGGCAGTTAGAAGTTCATTTTCCTCATTGCACAGGTTAAAATCATGCTTCTGTAGGCTTATGAAACAAGAACATCTGATTCTCTTGGCTTTTCAAAATATACACAGGAAAGATGAAACCTTGCTGACAATCCTTCAGCAACAAAAATCTGATTCACAGCATGTTACTTGTCAAAATGTCTCTCTCAAATTTTAAATGTTAATGTTATACCACTAATCTCTTAAAGAACTTTTTTGCATGTTACTTTCTTCTACTTTTGTATCAATACAACTGAG